TAATTGGTTTATACACTTGTTGTTAGAGTTAACAAGCAATTACAAGTAAAAATTAATTATATAAAAGAATTGCTTAAGCTGCTTTTTCAAGCAATTTTTATTTCTCGTTAATCTAATTATATAATTTACTATTAATTGTTATTTAAGTACCATTTATATTTTTACAAGAAAATATTAAAATATATATTTTAGTTTTACATTAAAATTATATAAATGTAAGAAATTATTTTATTTTCTGATACTTTATAATTATATTATAAATGTATCAATATTATTATATTTCCAGTAATCACGTTTCTTTCAAACAACATAATTTTTATAATTAAAACAACACATTAATTAAATTATTTAAGTTAGTTTTATTGTTAAAATTTTATTACAAAATGCCAAAATATCAGTAGATAACGATAAAACGATATTATTAATCACGTTAATTGTATTGTTTACTATAAAACCAATTAATATAATATTACTTTTATACTCGCAGCAAATAAATCATTTATAAAACAATAAAAATTTCCTCGAATATGTCTCTGTTAATTTGCCAACACACACACATATAAATATCACTAAAGCAATTAAAATACAATACTTGTCACGAGCATTGCGTTATCATTATAACATAATAATAGAAGAATCGTGAGATTTTATTACGAATACAGTTAACTGTTCATGTTGCAATCTGTATAGAAATAGAAAAAGAAAGACAAATTTATATAAATTATAAAAATTCATTTAAAGAAGATAAGAAAATGATAATATAAAAAAAATATGTGAACATTTTAATTATTTTCATTTTTTTTTTAGTAATTAAATGATTATTCTTACTAGAAAAATTCTATCCAATGCTAATTGAATATGCGAAATGAAAGGAAATCTATTGTGTTTGAAAAAGAATCGCAATATCTGTTAAAGCAATTTCAATTTTGCAATCCTGCAATTGTGCAAAAATGCAACACCGACATCTATCGGAGGGAGAAAGAAATAAAATGAAAAGGAGTTGAAAATGAAATAAGTGCGACACTTTTCCGTATATCAGCGCACTTTCCTCTGCAATCTCTTACCGTTACCTTCAGTGATAACGCTGAACCGATATCTGAGAATGTCTCCGGTTAGTCACCACCTCTTGGTAAACTTGCAGTCGCGAATTGTGTTCCGGGTGTGTCTTCAGAGCGGGATATCGATCGCATCGTTAAGGGTGGTAGAGAGAACTATGGCTTAGAGAGAGAGAGAGAGAGAGAGAGAGAGAGAGAGAGGGAGAGAGAGAGAGAGAGAGAGAGAAAGAGAGAGGGGAGAGAGAGTATGCTGTTGGCGTCACATACTGACGACTGCATCTAGAACGTATATATATTTACATCAGTGGAAAAATATTTGAGAGACACAGAAAAATTACTACCATGTTTAATTGTAATCTGCGGATATTTTTTACACATCAAAAATATTTTATATGATTTATAAAAAGTACGATTTTATATATAGATTTTATAAATGGAAAATCGCGAGTGAAAAATATCGAATATGAATTAGCTTCAGTTGAAAATATAAAAAAGATAAATATATAGCGCACTGCGGTGTTAAAAAATATACGTACATATAAATACGTATATATAAATACATATTTTTATTAATAATT